TTTTTCGACACAAATACTTCTTAGTATATGAACATTGAACTACACATAGAACGCTTTCTCCTATTCAGTTTGTACTCCAAACATTCGTTATGGAATTAAATCAGATATCATTCAAAAGATTATTACACAATATGAAAGAAGTAAAATTTCACTTACATGAAAATGTGTCATTCTCAATGGTCGACATCCGATATTTCGGAATGATATCTCACCTTATTGCCTCTTCAGCACCAGTTTGGATAACATTACACAATGGAGCGCTCAATTCAATAATAAAATCACGACACTATGTCACGAATGAGTTTAATCTACTCACGTCATCGATGACAGTGCGTAATGACTTCAATTCACTCATTTGATTTGATCCCAGCCATAGGAATCTTGTTCAAAATGAAAGGGGTATATTTTTAGGAGAGAATAGTTATTTGGAAAAAGAAGGTTTTGGATTATTCTTCATTCTTTATACAAAAAAAATATTGAAAAAATATGGACTTCAAAATAAAATTAAGTCAAAAGTTAGAAGTGATATTTGATATACGAAATCAACCCACAAAATGAAATCCAATTCAAGTACGAGGCAGAAGAGATATTTTTGAGGTCAGTGACTATGGAGTCCGAATTTCTAAAAAGTACTTACTACTACTCCAATGCTTTGAAGCCTATCCATTTCTTTTTGTATAAAGATGAATAGGTTGACAGTCACAACCTTTCTTTCCTAAAAAATTAATATCTCCTAGAAATATACCTCTTTCGGTTTAAATAAGTAGGTAAAGTAACTCAATGATAATTTATGTCTCACCAAGAATCCTAGCAAAGATTCAGCTAATTGTTCAGCTGGAACCTTTTTTAGACATTTTACTATTTTCTCTGAAGTATCATCTGGACATCCAACTAAACGGGCCTGTTTCTTTGCTGCTTCTAGGAGATTCGTTTTAATTGGCCAAATCCCAATCGGGGAACCACTCATTGAGACTGCCTTGTGGAACAATCCTAGAAAAATTCAGATCGAAAAACAAAATGCAACCTAGTTTGAAATAGTTTTTACTGTTCCCAACAATGTCGACAATATTTTTTATTTCAAGTTACACATACAGTTAGTTGATAGAAGAAATGAGTGTTTTTCTACGTATAGGTTGTAGCCGAATAGTATGATTATGTAATACATTTTGTCGACAAAGGGTGTCATGTTTATAAATACATGGAATGTAAAAAATATATAGAATGTTGTTTTTCAAAGACTATATAGTATTCACAAAAATGCAGTGAAGATTAAAAAATAATCCAAAAATATCAAAGATAAGAAAAAATGTACAAATATGTTATCAATGAAACAATACAATTTCAAAATTACTTGACATAAATCGTATTACACAAAGTGGTATACCGAAAGAATAGAATTTGTATGCAAAATACTCTTTCAAACTGTAGAAGCACTTTCCCAAACAAGGATCTTTACTAATCTACTAAATTTTTTAAGTTCAATAATTGATGTGATATGTTTTGGTAAATTATTATATGTTTGTCCACATCTATAGATTTGATATTGTCTGGTCAAAGATGATACGGGAAGTGGAAGTAGCGATAAATGTCAAAACGTATTTGTATCATAATATGACAGATCCGTGCCATAAAATAGGAAACAAAATCTCCATCCATTCACAAAGTATAACCTAATATAGATTGTCTATAAGTCGCAGAGAACAAACACATCCGGTTCTTTGAACTTGATATGAATACTTTTGATTGAAAACAAATCAGAGATTCAAACCAAATTATTTGTTAAAAGCATTCTAGTCGGCAATGAAATAGCTTAAGAAATTTGTTTATGTATGGACTGTTAAAAAAATAAGGTGAATGTTCCAATTTCGCGGGCTATACGTGAATTCGATTAGCAATTTTTTCATGGTGGTACAATCGTCTCGAACATATGTTAACAGTTCCAGCTATTGCATGTTCAGCTTGTTGCTGAGAGGTATAAAATTTAGAAATGTTTGGCGTGTTCTGCGATTTTCTGTAATCAAAAAAATGGATAAAAGCTTTTGCACAAATTTTTGTATAAAACATGGAATTGATTGCTCAAAAACACTTGAAATGTTGACCGTGGCATACGGTGATTGTACTTAAATCAGACAGATGTTTACAAGTGGTACAAGCCCTTCAGAGGAGGTTGATGAGATATGAATGGGGACGCAAATAATTTTTTGGATTTGAGTCGCTGGAGATTAAATCCATTTAGAAAAATGTTCTCAGGAAGTTCATTCCACATAAACGCGGTTCTCTAAATGGAATAGTTCTCAAACAGTGAAGTTTGAGGTGTACTGAGTTGAACCTCGAAACGATGAGTGGAGCCTCAGTTCGTCGCGTATTTATTATATGTACGGCTCTATTTGTAGATTTTTCATTTTATTTTACTCCATTCCCTATACATTGTCCATAAAATAATTTATTATCATTATCAAGTGTAACGGCCTAGCTACTAATTACGAGCCACCGGTTCAGTATCGAAGTGGAAGCATCTCAAAACTTTAGTCAAATAAGTCAAATTCTAGTGCATTGAAGAAAAAAATCTGAGTGGCTGAAACCAAACTGGGCTCGCCGTAGAAATTTGCGGCGAGAACTAAATGATTGATGGGAAAATTGACAGGCCATCAGATACCAGCTTACAAAAAATCACGAAATACAAAAATAATTGGGAAAATAAATCGAATTCAAAATCAAATATTGTCAAAAGTAAGAAATGATGAATTGAATAGGTTATATTTTTAGGAGTCATTGATTCCTGGGAAAGAAAGTTTTTGGCTTTCTACTACTCCATCTTGATACAAAAAAAGATGAGGGAATCTTCCAAGGAAAGGAAGGAAGTAATCAATTTGAAAATAAGTAACTCTATACATAAAAATCGTAATTCATGAATGAATTGTGTGTATTTTCTATAATGTTATCCAATTTGGTATTGAAGAGCCTTAGGGCAAGTGTCTTACGGCGAAACATCGATGTATACCAGTGAGGATGACACTGTTCCATGTAAGTGCAATTTGTTACCATTCATTTAAAGTAGAACTCATGTGAATGAGTGAATGATATCTGATTTCATTCCACAACGAATGATTGGAATACAAACTGAGTAGAGAAAAGTATCATCTGTATAATTCAGTGTTCATATAGAAGTATTTGTTTCGAAAGAATTTTTTTCTTTCATGTATTTCAATGTTTATATGAAAGTAGCTGTTTGAGGAAGACTTTCTTTCTGTCTGTGTCTGAAAGTTACTTCTTTGCATGATCTACACGTCCATGTATAGAGTTACTTGTTTTCAAATTGATTACTTCCTTCCTTTCTTTGGAACATTCCCTATTTTTTTTGTATCAAGATGGAGTAGTAGAAAGCCAAAAAATGTTCTTTCACAAAAAATAAGAAATGATATTATTATTGTGTACGAAATTAACCCACAAAATAAAATCAAATACATGTACGACACAAAAGAAATGTTTTTTTCGGTCAGTGACTGTGGATTCCGAATTTCTACGAAACTAATTATTACTCACTCACCAAATGCTTTGAAGCCTACTTCATCTTTAGTTTGACCTACAATATAGGGCACTTTCATGAAATTTCCTTTTGTAATGAGGCGAATGGGATGCTCAGTCAAAAATTTCTGTTGTCCAAAATCTCCCTCGATCACAGGTCCCCAAATCATCATGGGATTGGTACCAAATTCCTGAAAGTAATTTCGATACCTTCAAAAATTTAATTTTCATGATGAATACGATGTGAAATCTCACAAATAACAATATTAGGATAGTTGAAGAATAATTACAAAATTCTCACTGTAATCGATGGCGATCGTTCTATTAAACTGTAAAAGAATTTCAATGTTTGGCTTAAACAATTCATGTTGTGATTTCGCTTTTGGGGGTTACCAATTCAAAAAATTAAGTCTATTTGAACTGTTCCATAACATGAAAATTGAATAAAATATTCGAAATGTAGATACAGAAAAATATTAAGAGTACGAAATAATATTTACTACTGAACCGATGGAATCCAACAATGAAATTGTGTTCAGTTGCGACAAATGAGAATAATCAGTTTGAAAACTTGAGATAATGAGTAGGTTTTGGTTTTCCAATTCTACATCTTCATACGGAGATGCATTTCTTTAATGTCCCCCCCCCCTTGTATCATCGATACAAAATTAAAATGGTACACCAATTAACTGAAGATGACCCTGATCGAAGAACAGAATTCTGCGAAATCATGACGAAACCCATTGTAAGGCATCCTACCTATCTCCACAATATTTGTTTTAGTGACGAATGTACATTTTTTTTGAACGACAATGTTCACAGACAAAATTGCCGTTATTGGGAAACATATTCCCATAATCTAGAAAAAAATTACCGTTTGGGCAGGAATATTGGGAAACCATATTGTAGGACCTCTATTTATTGATCAAAATTCAACAGAGGCACTGTATTTGAATATGCTGGAAAGTACAGTTGACCCTCTCATCACTGAAATCGTCGAAGCGAATTCTAATGAATTCTTTATGGATATTGTATTCCAACAAGATGGAGCACCACCACATTATTCCAGACAAGTAAGAAATTATTTGGATACTACTTTTCCCAGTCATTGGATTGGCCGTCGAGGTCCTACAGAATGGCCAGCCCGCTCGCCGGATTTGATACCTTTACACTTTTTTCATCGGGCTATTCGAAGCAAAAGGTGCACGAAACTGAACCTGCTTCAATATTGGATATACGGCAGATAATGTTACTGAGTTCGAAAATGATCGGCGTGAAATATCGGATAGGCTAATCACATGTCAAGAACTTCAAGGCAACTATTTCGAGCATCTTCTGAACTGACCTCAAGCTTATTACCTCATATTATTCAATTGAATATCAAAGTATTCAGGCAATTTTCAAAAGTTCCGCCATTTTGTAGTAGTTGAAGATATTGACATTAAATTCTAGGGCTATGAAGCATTTGTCAGGAGCTTCAAAAAATTGTGTCACAAAACCCCCCTTTCCATTCAATGCTTTTTCCCAGATAATGCCCAGTCGCCATTTCGAAAGTTTCATCAGCCAATTTCACTTCAGAATAAAGTATTCATGCACGTGTTTCTGGCTATTGGCCTCATCAGCGCGGTGCAACCAATTGCAAAGATGGTAAACAACTGGTTACCAAAAATGAAAAACTTCACATTGCACGGTGTCACCAACAGGAGCTAACCGCACATTTGTGGTTCAAATTAGAAGACCTAGCATTCCCAGGCATTATCTAACATCACCACGTAGGCAGCTATAGCTACCTGCGTGACTTCGGGGTCCAGGATATAAATACAGATATAAAGATGTTATTAAGTGTGTATGATATAAATCAAAAGGGAAAATTTGTAGACAGAACACTCAAAAAAGGGGCAAGCACTCTAGGCACTATTCAATCAGATAGAATGGTGCCTAGAGTCTAGAGGATGTCAGCATGACCAGCTGTCGAAAGCGCTCGCAGATAATCAAATAGAAGTCATAGAGCCTCAAATCCTTTTTGTAACTTACATCAATAGTAAAATATTGAAAATAAAGGAAAAATTTGTTGCATCATCCAAATATTTAAATAAGTAGGTAAAGTAACTCAATGATAATGCATGTCTCACCAAGAATCCTAGCAAAGATTCAGCTAATTGTTCAGCTGGAACCTTTTTTAGACATTTTACTATTTTCTCTGAAGTATCATCTGGACATCCAACTAAACGGGCCTGTTTCTTTGCTGCTTCTAGGAGATTCGTTTTAATTGGCCAAATCCCAATCGGGGAACCACTCATTGAGACTGCCTTGTGGAACAATCCTAGAAAAATTCAGATCGAAAAACAAAATGCAACCTAGTTTGAAATAGTTTTTACTGTTCCCAACAATGTCGACAATATTTTTTATTTCAAGTTACACATACAGTTAGTTGATAGAAGAAATGAGTGTTTTTCTACGTATAGGTTGTAGCCGAATAGTATGATTATGTAATACATTTTGTCGACAAAGGGTGTCATGTTTATAAATACATGGAATGTAAAAAATATATAGAATGTTGTTTTTCAAAGACTATATAGTATTCACAAAAATGCAGTGAAGATTAAAAAATAATCCAAAAATATCAAAGATAAGAAAAAATGTACAAATATGTTATCAATGAAACAATACAATTTCAAAATTACTTGACATAAATCGTATTACACAAAGTGGTATACCGAAAGAATAGAATTTGTATGCAAAATACTCTTTCAAACTGTAGAAGCACTTTCCCAAACAAGGATCTTTACTAATCTACTAAATTTTTTAAGTTCAATAATTGATGTGATATGTTTTGGTAAATTATTATATGTTTGTCCACATCTATAGATTTGATATTGTCTGGTCAAAGATGATACGGGAAGTGGAAGTAGCGATAAATGTCAAAACGTATTTGTATCATAATATGACAGATCCGTGCCATAAAATAGGAAACAAAATCTCCATCCATTCACAAAGTATAACCTAATATAGATTGTCTATAAGTCGCAGAGAACAAACACATCCGGTTCTTTGAACTTGATATGAATACTTTTGATTGAAAACAAATCAGAGATTCAAACCAAATTATTTGTTAAAAGCATTCTAGTCGGCAATGAAATAGCTTAAGAAATTTGTTTATGTATGGACTGTTAAAAAAATAAGGTGAATGTTCCAATTTCGCGGGCTATACGTGAATTCGATTAGCAATTTTTTCATGGTGGTACAATCGTCTCGAACATATGTTAACAGTTCCAGCTATTGCATGTTCAGCTTGTTGCTGAGAGGTATAAAATTTAGAAATGTTTGGCGTGTTCTGCGATTTTCTGTAATCAAAAAAATGGATAAAAGCTTTTGCACAAATTTTTGTATAAAACATGGAATTGATTGCTCAAAAACACTTGAAATGTTGACCGTGGCATACGGTGATTGTACTTAAATCAGACAGATGTTTACAAGTGGTACAAGCCCTTCAGAGGAGGTTGATGAGATATGAATGGGGACGCAAATAATTTTTTGGATTTGAGTCGCTGGAGATTAAATCCATTTAGAAAAATGTTCTCAGGAAGTTCATTCCACATAAACGCGGTTCTCTAAATGGAATAGTTCTCAAACAGTGAAGTTTGAGGTGTACTGAGTTGAACCTCGAAACGATGAGTGGAGCCTCAGTTCGTCGCGTATTTATTATATGTACGGCTCTATTTGTAGATTTTTCATTTTATTTTACTCCATTCCCTATACATTGTCCATAAAATAATTTATTATCATTATCAAGTGTAACGGCCTAGCTACTAATTACGAGCCACCGGTTCAGTATCGAAGTGGAAGCATCTCAAAACTTTAGTCAAATAAGTCAAATTCTAGTGCATTGAAGAAAAAAATCTGAGTGGCTGAAACCAAACTGGGCTCGCCGTAGAAATTTGCGGCGAGAACTAAATGATTGATGGGAAAATTGACAGGCCATCAGATACCAGCTTACAAAAAATCACGAAATACAAAAATAATTGGGAAAATAAATCGAATTCAAAATCAAATATTGTCAAAAGTAAGAAATGATGAATTGAATAGGTTATATTTTTAGGAGTCATTGATTCCTGGGAAAGAAAGTTTTTGGCTTTCTACTACTCCATCTTGATACAAAAAAAGATGAGGGAATCTTCCAAGGAAAGGAAGGAAGTAATCAATTTGAAAATAAGTAACTCTATACATAAAAATCGTAATTCATGAATGAATTGTGTGTATTTTCTATAATGTTATCCNTCTGACTTTTTGCTTTCTATGGGATAAATAGTCAGATAACCATTGGTAAACATCACCATCAATGCCATAACCTCTTTATTTTATTAGAAGAATATTACGATCAATTATTTCAAATGCCCTCTTCAGATCAAGAAAAACAGCTACTACAAATTTATTGTTATCAACTTCTTTTTTGAATTTAGATAAAGTGAGTTGTAGTGCGGATTCACATGAATATTTTTTACGAAATCTAGATTCATTATTTATTAAAATTTCATTTTTTCCAACATGATCAAGTACATGCCTATAAACAGCTAGTTAAAAATTTTTTTTTATTGGTGGTAATTTATAGGTCTATCTTCATTAGCCTTGATTGTATTGTTTACCTTCTGAATGGGGACTATAGTACTCAGTTTTAAAAGATTTGGAATTTTAGAAGTTTGAAGAGAAGTACTTACAAGGTTTAAAATTATATGTCCACATGTTTAGAGAATGACTTTGAGCATTTTGGAATTTAAGATCTCATGAACAGTGTTTTTGTTGTCTAAGGAGTTAACAATTAGACGTAATTCATACATTGTTAATATGTGAAACTTGGAAAAATTAGGATACAGATTATAATTATTGAATTTTCAATCTTGAACATTATCTATACTATCAACAATTTGCTGAATACTAGTAATGAAGTAGTAGTTGAATTCGTTTACTATTTTAGTTTTATTATTAACAATATACCTCTGGTTTACAAAAAAAAAAAGGTGGAGAAAATATGGATCCCTGGCAAACACCAGCGTTGATGGTGAAAGTATTCGTAAGATATCCATCCACTTGCAGAGAACGTTCTTTCAGGAAGCTGAAGAGACATACACAAAAATGATCCGTTAAGTCTTAGCATCGAAGTTTGCCAAGGAAACCCTCATGCCACACACGGTCAAAGGCCTTAGAAATATCAAGCGCAACAGCTCTTGATTCTCCATATTTCTCCATGACTCTCCATATTTCTCAATTGCGTTATTCCAAATATGGGTGACATGCGATAAAAGGTCGCCTATTGATCTTTGTTTCCGAAAGCCATATTGATTTTAAAGCCTTCCAAATATTTAAGGTGATTTACGAGTTGCTTTACGACTTTCTCCATGATGTTTGATATCACTGATATTTTTTTAAATTTATTTGAAAATAGGAAATCCTAATATAAATGCAAGTCCAAAAAGGTAAAAATGGTATATGAAAAATATTAAAATAGTATAAAAATTACAATAAAATCCATTCAAATAATATATAAATACAAGAAGCTGAAAAGCTAGAAATAGAAATGTGTTCCTGAGAATATTGTCCCATTACACAAAACAAATCAGGAGTATTCAGAATAGTTAGTTCCATATTACAATTATACTAGGGCATAAAAACAATTATTTGAGTGGGTAGCTAATGAAATATTTAACATATCACAATGTAACACGATGTAACACAATGTATACAGAACACATAAAAGCTCGAACCAATAAAATAATCCGATGATGTGAAACATAAAAATAAAAAAAATTCCGAAAATTCATAGACTACGTGATTTAATATATATTTTCAACTGAGTCTTGAATAAATATAAAGTAACATAATCTTTAATGTGATATGGTAATTGGTTGAAATCATTCAATCCTCTGAAAAATAACGATTTCATAGATTGATTTGTTTTTGTCCTGGAAAAGTGGATAGCAAAGCAACTGCTCTATAATTATTTGAAAGATTTTTTTGGCATTTTTGTGAATAGGCTGAACACGAGCAATCTTCCAACAAGAAGGCGAAACCCCTTTCTTGTAAGACAGGTTGAAAAGTCTGCAAAATACTGGTGCGAGTTCATTTTCGCACTTTTCACCAGGCTAGTGGCTGTCGAAAAGTAATTTCTGGCATTGTGGATTCTAGTGTGGCAAATTGTTCAGCTAGTACATTTGCTTTTTTATGGCTGTTGTTGCAATTGAACCATCCGCTTGTGTTATTGGTGGAATTGTGAATTTCGTAAAGTTCTAATTAACAGTTTTAGCTACCGACCAGAAGGATCTAGACCCGTTGGGATTTGCAAGAACTTTATCCCTAATTCTCTGATTGTGAAGTTATTTGCCTTCATTTATCCTAGGTTTGCAGCTGTTGCGAGCATTAACAAACCTAGTTCGGTTTTCGACACTGGGATTTTTGCGCCATTGCCGGTAGGCGAGATTTTTTTTGAGGAGCTTGCTCGTAATTTTTGTTGAACCAAGGTTTGCCGTTAGAAGGTCGTTTCATTGAAAAAGAAATATACCAGACCACCTCAGCAGACTTAAACTTCTCCTATACATAATGACAATAATCATCAAATCATTTCACGGTATAGAAATGAATTATTCATTGGTGGAATCAGTTCTGAGTGATTAATGTTCCTACAATGATTAAATAAATTTTTGTATGTAATTCTATATGATTTTATGACATGACGATATACGAAGAAACATGAGGTTTCAAAATTGAGAGTCGAAACGGATTAATCCAAAGCGAGAATACTAACAGCCGAAAAACAAAAAGGGGAAAAACACCCAGAACGTCCGCTTATTAAGGCTGAATAAATCAGAAGTGATAATCTGTTTCACTACAAAAGTTTTCACTGAATAAATTAAACGAAGGTTTTATTTGCGATTTCAATAATAAATATGCAAATATACATACGAAATACTTGGAAATACCTAAAATATAATCAGTTCATGAAACGAATACGTAAACAAATGAAATTTCACAATGATACCACATAAACACAGACTTGTTGTTTTGATTTGTTTTTCATTGATCGATGGAAAATTTCATAAATAATCTACTTGATCAAATTTCGTACCTTGAGACAAAGAAGATACCATGTGTAGGAGTGCACTCCAACCTCCCACACTGTACCCTAGAAGGGTGACAGAATTTGGATCACCGCAAAACGGCTCAATATTATGTTTAACCCATTTAAGTAACTCGACTTGATCTCTTAAACCATTATTTCCTGGAGCATGTTCATCTCCGGTACTCAAAAAGCCTGAAACATAAAATGTAAAATAAAATGTGTCTTTGAGTTTAAGATGCAGCTCATAAGTAGAAAGTCCCACCCCTCCTAACTTTTGAATGAGGTTGGACGAAATTTACGATAAATCTTTCAGAACCTCTTGATGAAAGCGGTAGTGTGACGTCACTCGCCGCTCAGTGAGCATTATCAATTTATTCCAAGAAAATAAAAATTAGTGATATCCAGTTTCAATAAAAATTTTATTTCTCTTCTATTTTTGTAAATCGAATCATTAAATAATTATCAATTTCTTATTCTTTTTGAAAATTTTCATATGAATGGTATATATCATAATCAATGGAATTTTCACTATATCAACCTCCTAGCAAATTCAGGAATGTAGGCTTACACGGCTGGCGTCAATGTTTTGGTTGGTTTTTAGGTTTTGCCTTGGCTTCCTTGGCTACAATCTCCAAACGTTTCAACTGCAACTGCGGCAGTAATCTCCAGTGGCGTGGTAGAAGTACTCTTCTTGACGTATCAACTGAAACTGAAGCTCTCATTTCTGCCATGTCATTCATAGTGCTGATTTCCGCGCAATTTCTGCAATGGCGGATTCGCATGTACTTCCCGCGCGATTTGATTGACTTGGCTTCGTTTTGGCGCCTTTTAAAGCTGTGTGCCAAATATTCGGTAGATATGTTCTTTTTTTTTCAGTTGAAGTTCTTTTGGTATTTGTGTATTTCTATGGCTTCTAAATTCATTCTCGTTGAATAATGTTTCGACATTGCTAGCGTCTCGATATTTTCGAAAAAGATCTGGTGTTCCCCGTCGGACAATGATTGTTAAGCGACTGCAGACTTCTCGGTCTATTCCAATCGGCAACTACGCTTGTGCTCGATCAGACGGGCACCAATGCTCCTTTTCGTCTGACCGATATAAACTTTACCATAGTTACAAGGAATCCTGTAATCTCCCTCTGATTTGAGTGGATTTCTGCTGTCATTTGCTGATCTCAGATACTCCAATATTTTCTTCGTTGGTTTGAAGACGGCGTCAATTTTCTTTTTCTTTAGAATTTCCCCGATTCGGTTGGTGACACCTTCTATGTATGGCAAATAGACAGTGCCTTTGGGTTGCTCTTCACTGGTGTTCCTCTTCTTCTACCTTGGACTCGTAGCGCGGATTATGTCTTTTCTGTCGGATCCGTTCGCTTGTAACACAGTTGTCAGATGTTTTTTATTTCGTCGTCGACGTACATTTCTTCATATATTCTCAAAGCTCTGTTTTCTAGGGTGTTGATGACGGTTTGTTTCTGTTTTAGATGATGCTTGGATCCGTAATGTAAGTATCGATCTGTGTCTATGTTTTCTTCCTGTACACCGAGTTGATTACCTTCCTTAGTGACTAAAACATCAAGGAACGGGATTTGGAGGTTTTCTTCTAGTTCCAAGGTAAACTGGTTTACTGGTTTTTTGGATAAAAGCTATTCAGATGATTTAGAAAGTTCTGAAGTTTTTTTCCTATAGATTCAAACAACGAACGTGTCATCTACATCTACAGCCTTGGTGGTAATTCTTCTGATCTGCAAAGTTTCTTCTACTTCGACCACGCCATTGAAGATGACTGCCGCGGTTGCAGTCGAAACGTTGGAGATTGTAACCAAAGAAGACCACGACAAAATCCGGAAACCAACCAAAACACTCTTAACAAGTTTGTTCACATCAAATGTTTGATCTTCCTCTTGAAGATGATCACTTGGTGATCAAAACACGTGTCGAGATGTTAAAATGACGGTTTGGTGTTGGGAAAAAACTCCAGTAATATTCATTACTACACCAAAGGTTCCAAACAGTGCATCACAAATATGTAATGAACGATCAAATTGAGTTGAATACCTCTCCTTTACTCAATACATCCTCATCAGATAATCAAGCTATATAGTATGTTTATCTTTTTTACCTTAATTTACCTGCTTTCAGAAGTTAGTGATATGATTGAATCCACTCGTTTCATGTAGTTAAAATACGATCAGAAATAATCATGTGCTTAGATCATAGATCATAGTTTTTAAGCCAATAGTAGTTATGATGCACTGTTTGGAACCTTTGGTGTAGTAATGAATATTACTGAATAGTACTGTAGGAGTATAGTAGTTGATCAAATCCCGCTTGAGAAAGCTATTGTGTAGGGAAACACGTATGGCGGTTTCGCAAGCCTCTTATATTTGTTGTATTCATATTTTTTGATATTCCATTACCTTTTCTCTGGTTTTTTTCCCAAAGTAACTTATAGCAACACTCATTTTCCCTCGACATTTCATCGATAAAAGTGAAGCAGTTTCAAGTAACCTCTAAGCAGGATGTAATTATCATGAATCAGACAATATTCAGTCAACGGTTTCCTGATGATCCAATGTGTTGAAAGTAACTAAGGAAATTGGTCAGTATGTACTCTCACTTCGCTGAGGATGATCCGAAATACCTCTACTGCGCAAAGTTTATCCAACGGTTCTACACTCGATAACTGGAGATGGTTGGTCTTTCTAGTTTCAAGCTCAACACGATTAAGACCGGTTGGTCACTGTGGAGTGATATATGGTCTCTGCTTGTCCTGAAACGGCAGGTCTGTCGTTGAAATAATATCAGGGGCATTGTGAGTCCCATCGGTGACCAATATCTGAACTATCAGCTCGATTAGTCTGCCGACCGAGGACAAAGATATTCTTATATACACTGCTCAGCAGTATTCAGAAATGGCGTTTACAATAGTATGAATCGGTGTCAATTTTCTAAACCAATGGGTAGGTAATCGTGGTCTCTTAAAATGACCCGCTAAAGTATCTAATATAATGCCCTTCGTTTTTTTTTTGTAGAGTTACGTGAAATTTGAATCGTACATCAAACAAGTGAAGTTCTCTTCAGAACTAATGGTTAAAATCAGAAGTGTTTGTTACCAAGTCACCATAATAACTTTCCCTAGTGTGAGTAATACATTTGTGAACAGACTTCAATATTCTCAATTGACTGGGTTTCTGAAAAAATGTTAATCGAAAGATTTTTTTAAATAGATATGGTTTGTATGGAAATTTTTGGACATTGAACCATCCATCTCAAACTAGTTTTGAATAAAGATTTAAAAAACACCCTCATTTTCATCAGAAAAAAGTATTAACTATAATTTCTTTACACTGAAACGTCATCGACATCGATACCTTGTTGTCCAAAAGTTGAGAGAGAAGAAGATATTTACGTCCAATCTTCTACAGAGCGGGTTGCATACTAACCCATTGAAGCCAGTCTGTAGTTGAAAGTTACTAGAACAATATCCTGATCCAAAAAATAATTCGGACCCATTTGGGTGCTGATGGATCCACCAATGAAGTAACCGCCAGCATGAATATGTACAATCACAGGTCGTTTACAAGCATTCTCTGATGTTGGAAGCTGGAAACAAAACTTATATACAACCCTGAAATTTCTCTACTATTTATACAGAGCTTAATTTTCGTTTTTTGTTTTCAAGAAAAGTTATATTCGAATCGATAGAGTTCAGTTTCAATAATTTAAAATACCCTCATCTTCACAAGGCCGTAGCCAGACGGTGGCCAGATGAATCCTCGCAAAGAACGCAGGTATTAGTCTGATCAACAAGTTCAAAAACATGAAAAATAGAAATAAAGATCCTAAAAATATGAGCGATAGCTCATATTAATAAAATAAAAAATAAAATAAAATAAAAAAATAAAATAAAAAAATGTATTTAGTTTTTCGTTAATAACTCAAAAACTATTAATATTTAAGCAATTTTGAAAAAAAGCTCGCTAAAAAGGAGAAAATTTCCGATAAAAAAGTCCCAACTCCCGAAACTCTATCTCCATTATTTATAATTTTAATTTGACGTTGAAAATAGGGTTCCACGCGGCTGTTACGGCATGCGCGCGCTGCTGCCAAAGAGAGTTTTTATCACCATTTTTCATAAAGTTATTCAATTGTTAACTAACAAATTTTTTCCCAATCTCCGGTGGCATAAATAATGGGATAAAAGGTATAAATAATTGGCCTATGAATTTTAAACTTCGTGGAGCCCTTTTGATATATATACTCCATAATCGTATGGAGTACGATAAAAGTTCATAAAAACTTATCAATTTATTGATTATGATTTTTTATAACTATTGCAAAATGAAATATCTAAAATTTGGTGATGAATTTTTTTTTCAATTGATATTTAGCTATGTCTGTTATTGGCAGTTATTAACATAGGATATGAATTTTTACATAATTTGTTTATTAAATTGTTTTAAGCAAATAGAGAAATTCAATATTTTTGAAAAAATTTTTTTGGCTATTTTGTTGTCTAGAGATAATTATGATTTGGAATTATTTTTTTCTGATTTTAATTCTAAATTGGTTGAAATCGATTTTTTTATATTTTCATCGTTTATAAAATTAGTTTAGAAATAATTTTGCTTTTAAAAATCATAATTTACACTTTTAAATAGTTTGCCAAAAATTTTTTTTTTTATTCATTATTCAATTGTTCATTAGTTTAACAATTTATCATAAACAAATATTGACCAACGTTATATTTTTTTTTCTGAAGCAGAAAAAAAATAATAAAAACAGATATATATAAAAAAGTACACTTGAAGATTGAGAGTTTTCTTCGTAGGTGAAATTTTGTAATAATTCTTCAAGGGATAAGGCTTTTTAGCGTTTCACGTCTACAGTTTGATACAAAAAATGTGATATATTTCCAAAGGGATGAAGAAAGCAAAAACAAATCTCTCATGAAAATGTAACTCTTTCAATTCAAATAGCAATATTTTTTTTATATTTCGTTGTGTAGCGTTCCTGTGTTCGATGAATGTTCGAAGGACAAACTGTCATTTCAGGAAAATTTTTTCTTCCAGTTCACGTCTGAAATAATCTTTTGTTTTGATCTACATATCTACTGAAACAATTTTTATTGATGTATTTAATTTTTGTTTCCTTTTTTCGAAAATGTCCTGACTGCTTAAGTCAGAAGCCATGTCAAATAACCTGATGCTATATAGCTATAAAAAGAGATCAGGCGTTTAGTTGTTCCAAAAAAATTATTTACATAAAGTCTTATAAAAGATAATAAACAAATATTTTGTGCCAATAGATTTCCCGTAAATATCTCAACTTACTTACGCATGAGGAAAAATAGTACTTTTTTTCATTTATTTATCATATTCGTTGATCTGGGAATATAATATGTCTAGAACAAAATATTCAAATCATTGTCCAATGTCTTATATCGATGAAATTGTTATACATTTCAGTTTATGGATACCAAACTATATTGGTTGGTTGGTCTGAAAGGAACGTGAAACACTGAGATCACTTGGAGTATTCAGTTCATTTTGAAAAATAAATAATTTCGTTTGCATTTGATATATGTGGATTCATAGACACGTAATAGGCTCAGTGGATTTGACTTCATTGAGAAAAGAGGGTTGTTCACAATATCAACTATCATCTACAAATAGGAACTGACCTTTGTTGTATAAATATTCAATATGAGACAGTCCTCGGAAGAGTTTCCAAACATACGAGGTTGCAAGCATAGTGAACCATCCTTAGTGGCATCATATACTCCTTCCCACTTGTCAACTGGTTGCGGAGGCTGAAATATGAATGATAAACTCATTTCAAAATTTGACTTTTGCTATCATCCATTCGATGGTGATAAGCTAATGTAATATGGAAAGTGAATCGCCTAACTTTATTTGTGTTGCTCTTTCGTAACTCAGCTTCGATTGATAGACAAATGACACTATATCGACATAAGCATTTTTAAATCGATTGATATATTGAACTCAATTTTTTGTTCTGATTGATTCGGCCGTTACTTGATGAAGATCCGTAGTATTTCCATAATTTTATTATTGAACTTGTTGTCTTGGACCGAGAAAGAATTATTATTCATGTAGAAGTGAGGTAATATACTTTGGGTGATCATAATTGACGAGGTACCTCAGAAAGAGGTTTAGGTAATTTATTGAAGGTAGTCTCAATTATGGTTTACCTGTAGTAAATATTAGTATACGAAGCAACCTCCTCATTTCATCAGACTAGTCGCTTCCTATCTTACCAACCCACAAATCCGCGTAAAAGTCGTCGAAGCCCTCTCCTCCCCTTTCACTCCCAAAGCCGGAGTCCCCCAAGGCTCTATTCTTTCACCCACCCTATTCCTAATTTATGTGCACGAGTCGCCCTCCGCTCAGAAAAATCCTTCAATATGCAGACGATACAATCTCATCAACCAATCAGCTCCCGTATCTTGCAAACACAATCTCAAACAATGATTAGCCACTTTGAGCACTGGTGCAACAAGTGGCGAATCGAAATAAACCCCCTCGAAACCCAAACCATTCTATTCAGACACCAAAACACCACCACCCGTCTCAAACTTGATACCGACAACTTGAATCTCAGGCTGTTGGGAGAGAACCTCCACCTCCAAAACTTAGTGTCCTACTTGGGGGTTACTTTCATGAGTACCCTCAACTGGGAGGCCGACCTCAGAGAAACCCTGGACACAGTCCGGAAGAGGGGTAATCTCCTAACAGCGCTGAGAGGCAAGCTCGGTAGATGCAATGGTAAGACTCTCTCACACACTCACAAAACCTTTATAAGACCGGTCGTGGAACACGAATCCACGATCTACAGCACCCTCTCTCAAAGACAAATCCACCGAATATTAAGAACCGAGAGAAGAATCCTGATAAGCATCCATAACCTCCCTTTCCGACATCCCTCCCACGACTCAAACCGCGGCCATCGACACTCTTACCACCCCATGGATGCCCCGCGGGGGCGCCAAAAGGATACCTCGGAAAAAACTCCCGTTCCCCCCAGTCAGACTCCTGGGGTTAGTGGAAGACCCAACGGAACAAATCCAGAATATCCTGGAGGAATATCCATTCGATAGCGGAAGATCACGCCCTGTGGAACATCCCGGGAACTCAACTTGAAGACCAACAACATCACCCCTGACACTATACAAACCGACTCCCCCACAAACAACGACCACAGCCAAGAACCAGGACACTCGAACTTCTAAACACAACATAAATAGGATGAATAATTGTAAACCTTGAAAAGGCATAAGCCTATAGCAGGGTCCCAACAAATCATATAGTAACATTGTGAAATACCAACCCCCAAAAAATGAATAAACATGATCACGTCAAGCCACTTGAAGTATTCAAATCACTGGTGATGAAGCTACTGTGTTAGCGAAACTTGTCGTGATATATTTTTCAGATAAATTTGTGGAGATCAAATCGTGAGGTGTAGTGTATGAAAAATGAACTCAAACTGAAAACATATTCTTCAGTTTCTTCATGTGGGGACATCATTCAACTGAGATTTATACAAAAATCATGGAATACTGTCGACATCATAAACTTCAGGAAGTTTTTTTTCAGAAGATTTTCATCTGAAGAAAGTTTAATAATACACTAAAAACTCAATTTATTATTATATTCCAATTAGACATTGTTTGCAGTTTCAAGTAAAGAAAGATTTGATAGTGATTGCCAATGTTTCAGAATTTCATTAGTGCAGACTTACGCTGTCTGATATTATGTAAAATGATTTGAAATCCAATCCAAATGAAAATTAAAAAGAATGACTGAGAATAACAATTGTATTCAGCAAAAACACTGAAAAGAAATTACAGTGAAATGAAATACAAGTAAAAAATAAAAGTTGGCCATTTCTCGCTTGATTACGGGTTTCCATATGTTGTGTATATCTACGCTAGCTTGTCTGAATACATTGTTGGACAACATATATGCGGCTTCTTTGAATTTCCTCCTAAAACCAGTGTTCGTCCTATGTATGATCTCAGCTTGGGATCACTCGATGTTTTGTTGATAATTCCAAACATGCTCTTCTATTCCTGATTTGCTGTTTTCTCCTCACTCTGTGTGTTTCTTGTGCTCGGCAATGCGGACTCTCAAAGGCCTTTTAGTTTCACCGATATAGGTTTTTCCGCATTCACAGGGTATCCGGTAAATACAGTTCTAGGAATCGCAATCCGCGTTTGGTGGCCTAGGTTTGTGAGGCTTCTACGGATAGTGTTTCCGGATCTGAAGCAGGTTCTGATGTTGAACTTTGACCCAATTCTCCTTATTATTTTCGATGATCTTCTAGTTGTGACGGCTTCTCTTCCTTGCGAGGCTCTTGCTGTCTTTTGAGAAAAGTCTGTTCCAAAATAGCTTTGGAGTAGCCATTCCGTTGAAGGTCATTTTTGATGATGTCTATTTTTTTTCGAGACCTTCTTTCATGTTACAGAGCTTGAAATCACGATCTAATAGATTCTTGATGATTCCTCTTTCAATCGATTGATGGTAGTTGGATTCGTGGTTCGGATACTGTCCCGTGTGATTGGGTTGTCGGTATACATATGTTACCCACTCGAGACAGTATCTGAACCACGAATCCAACCACCATCGCTCGACTGAAAAAGGTATCATCAAGACTCTATTAGTCCGTGCTTTCGGGCTCTGTAACACGAAGCAAGGTATCGAGAAGGAACTAGACTTCATCAGAAATGATCTTCAATGGAATGGCTACTTCAAAGCGATGGTGGAACAGACTTTGGCTAAAAGACAGCAAGATCCTCGCAAGGAAGAGAAGCTGTCACAACCGGTGCTTGCACTTCCCTACAGCAGAGGATTATCGAAAAGGATAAAAAGAATAGGGTCAAAGTACAACATCAGAACCTACTTCAGATCCGGAAACAGTATCTATAGCAGCCTCACGAAAACCAGGTCACCAAACGCGGACTTTAATTCCAAGAATTGAAAAATGATGAACCAGCTGAGCATATACTTTGCGCCTGCCCCGCTGGGGACTGAATCAGGTTCTTAGAGTTCGGCAGATCCGTACTCTTACCATCTGACCTAAAAGACCACTCACCATACAAACTAATCGGCATCGTTAAGAAGCTGGGTTTATTTGGCCGAGTGTGAATGGGTGTGAGCCACAATAAACCATTGCGGGTTGCGGTGGAGGGTCGAATAGACCTACTCACTTTAGACCTAACCTAACCTATTATTCCAAGAATTGCATTTACTGGATACCCTGTCAGTGCGGAAAATACTATATTGGTAAAACTAAGAGGCCATTGAAAGTCCGCATTGTCGAACACAAGAAACATACACAGCGAGGGGAAACCAGCAAATCAGGAATAGCAGAGCATGTTTGGACCCATCAACATAACATCGAGTGGTCCCAAGCTGAGATCATACACAGAGAGGAACACTGGTTTAGGAGAAAATTCAAAGAAGCCGCATGCATGTTGTCCAACAACGTATTCAGCCAAACTAACGTAAAGATACGCAACATATGGAAACCCATAATCAAACGAAAAATGGCCAATTCCCGCCAAACGGTCATCTTCCGCTAAACCGGTGAAGCGGGAAGAGAAAAGAAGTGATAAGTGGAAGTACTCGAATGACCCATAAATAGTAATCTTTCGGAACAATTAGCACAGCTTAGTAAGTAAGCTGTGCAATTAATCCAGTCATCACCCGAAGATGATTGTGGATATTAACAATCAAAACGTTGTGAAGTAATTTGGCTTGTAATCTAATAATTTTCAATTTTTATTTTAATTTTCTGTTTAATTGTTCTATTTACCACTCGTATTTTATTTCATTGTAATCTATTTTCAGGGTTTTTTCACTTAATATAATTGTTATTTCTATTTTTTTTTATTTGTATTGGTTCTTTCATGGATTTCAAATCATTTTACATAATATTAGACAATAGAAGTCTGAACTAATGAAATTTAAATAAAGAATAACAGGTTTGTGATTTGATAGTTCTCAATGATTCCAGGCTGACCTGGTGAAGAGATCACTTTTCTCTCGAGAAACTGCATGAATTCCTGCATGAATTTTCATTTGACTGTGAGACTATCATACTGATCGTTTTATCTTCATTTGATCTATCATAATGCCATATTGGTGCATTTTCACCTTAGTGTTCTAGATATCAGGACGAGTGTATGTTCTGAGGTGAAATCTATTGAAATGGTAGCTTCATTCAAAATTATTCTCAAACAGATTATCTGTTGTCCTATTTGCTATATTATGATTTCTGAACACAAATCAGATTTTCAGATCTATGGAGGCACGTAGAATTCGATCTGGATGAAAATCCACTGCAGTTTCACAATTTGGCTCATCGAAGAGGTGATGATGACTCTCCACATAATCAAAGATCGACAAAAATCTAAAATGCCATTATCAGGTATCAACGAGATTCAGCCACCGACCTTAGCAAAATAGCTCCAAAATCGACCACCGAATGAGAAATTGCTCCTTCTCCCTCTGCAGCTCTCATTTCCAGCAAGCTACTGGATGAAACTGAACTTATCAAGCTTGGTTCGGCTGGTGACAGCTAGATCACTCATTCCGTGCAGAATTTTTCAGGTTTTAGACAACTAGTAACCATAACTATAGCGGCCAAAATAACTTTCAACACGAAGCAATATGAATATGAAACTTTCCTATATTTCAATAAGATACCCACCTACGGCTGCAGAGTACTAACGGCATCCACCACCAGGAGACGCTCTTCTGATCCTCTCATGTAACCTGTAGGTAT